GCTGCAGCAGCGGCGGCGGCCGCGGGTTCGCGGCCCGCGCCTGGAGCGCCGCCGGCTTCTCCCTTCGGCAGATCGCGCGGGGCCAATGGGAGCGGGCGGGCGGGCGGCGGCGGCGCCGCGATTGGCGCCGGGGCTCTGCTGATCGCCGTGGCAACGGCGGGAGGAGGATGCGGGAGCGCGGCGGGGGGAGGAAGGGGCCGAGCCTGGGGCYGGGGCGGGCGGCGCGCGCGGGGAGCGCCCGCCAGTGCGGGGGGAGAGCGGCCGCGGGGGCACTGCGGAGCCGCGGGAGACAAAGGGAACGCGGGGCATGAGCCCGGCGGAGGGGCGGCCGCGGGGGTGCTGCTGAGGCGGCCCAGCAGAGCGCGTGTCCCCTTGCGTCCCTGAGGGGCTGCCCGGCTCCCCGTTGCAGGCGACGAGGCTAAAGCGGCCACCGAGCCCATGGGGAAAGGGGGCGAGAAGGGCGAGGAGGCGGCGGAGCGCGAGGTGCCGCCAGCGCCGCCGCGGCGCTTCTACACCTGGGAGGAGATCCAGAAGCACACGGCGCGCACGGACAAGTGGCTGGTCATCGAGCGCAAGGTGTACAACATCACGCAGTGGGCGAGCCGGCACCCCGGCGGCCAGCGTGTCCTCAGCCACTGCGCCGGCGAGGATGCCACGGTAAGCGGCCGCGCGCGGGCCCGGCYGGGATGCCACGGTACCGGGCTGCACGCCGGCCGCTGCCTCCTTCCCTCCCCAGTGACCCCAAAGGAGCCGGCCAGACCTTCCTCATCTCCCTGTATCCCACCTGCTCATCCCTTCGCCACCATCTCCCGCTCATCCCACCCGCCCGTCCCTTTCGCCGCTGCAGCATCCAGGTGCCTGTGCTTGGCGGTCGGCTGCGTGGATGCGGGTGGCAGAGGTGGCCTTGGCTCCGCTCAAACCAGCTCGCTGCCTTTGTCCCAAGGTGATGCAGGGCCCGGGGCGCTGCTTTCCCTGCTCCGAGCCGCCCCGCTCAGCCTCGCTCCGGCGGCCGCTTTCTGCCCTGCAAGGAAGGGTTAAGCGGGAGCCCGTTTCCAAGTTGCTTCTGTAAAGAGGGAGGGTTGAAACAAGCAGCTTTTCAGCATTTTGGTTTTCCCACGAGGGAACTCCCTGGAGATTTTGCTACAGGTTTCTAATGAAAACTCAAAAAAAAAAAAGCAGAGCCGTTTGCTGCTGCTCCTGCAGTTGGTGGCTGCAGCCACCGCTTGTGTTTCCACAGCCCGGAGGGGAGGCAGAGCGGGAGGACAGACGCTCCAGACGCTCGCAGGAGGCACAACGCACCCCTGAGGCTGCTGTTTGCGGCTGCGGTTTCCCGCAAAGCCGCCTCCTGCAGAGGTGCATCCAGAGGGAAGGTGCAGGGCACCCCAGGGCGGGTGATGAAAGCGGAGCCGCTGCCGAGCTCTCCAGCACTGCCGGAGCCCCAAGGGAAGCAGGAGCGTGCAGGGCTCGGCAGCGTGCAGGGCTCCGGAGCAAGCATTGCTGACGCTTCTTCCCCTGTGCATTTGCTTGCAGTCACCAGCTCTGTGGTCACCCCCCTCCATTCTCCTTAAAGCGCTGCGATGAATTCCCAGGTTCCTGCCCCCTTCCCAGGGAGCGGCTTTTCCCACCCGAAAGAAAGGAACGGGCTGAGTTTTCCTTTCACCAGCCTGTTGAAACCAGCTGGTTGAAGCAGAAACCAGAGGGGTTGTTAGTGCTCCCGTCCCCCAGCGTTTAACTCCGAAACCTACCCTGGCAATGGAAATGTGTTTCGGTGCTACATTTGCCTCCCGTCTTTGCAAGGGGGATGGAAACACAGCACACACCACGGCGGCACAGCCTGCGAGCGCTCCGAGATTGCCCGTCCCTCGCTGACCTGAAAGGGAATTGATGTCCGTTTGCCAGCTCCCCTGCGGCAAATAACATTTTACTGCCCGAAAAATAAGTGTCTCGGTCTCATTCAGGGCTAGAAAGGCTAGGCTAAACCCTGCCAAGGCCTGGCAAGATTCATTCAGTGCTGCTAGATGTCCCGGCTGGGAGAGTGTATGGGGAGTGATAAAAAACGTAGTTCAACGTGTTTTACATCCCTAGTTCTCGGATGGCTCGCGTCCCTCATGGCGCTGTCATCAGCACCGCTCCTAGGCTGGACCACGTGCAGGGGGAAGCTCGGCAGCTTGTCCTTTCATGGGGACCATCCTTCAAATCCGAGGGGAGTGTAGCTCCCACCTTTTTCTCTCCGTCTCCTCCGTTGCGGACAATTGCAGCTATCAGGCAGGTGCTCAGGGCTCAGGACCTATTAGTTGAGGAGATACATGATGCATGAGAAGTACTTAGCTAGAAAGCTCCTCCTTTGCCACCATAGCTTTTGACCCACTGATGGGCAAGAGCTGCAGTTGAATTCTCCCTCACTTAACACCACAGGAATCAGAAAGAGGTGTCTCCATCACTGAGACAGCATGGTGGCTAGCCAGGTTTCCAAGAACTCTTTTTTTTCATATATATTTTTGAGTCAGTTTTGAATACGGAGTCAACATTTTGGAATATAGAGTCAACACCCTGCCCCTTTCTTTTCCTCTCTTCCCAATTTCCCCTCAAACATTCCCTCCACGTTGGCACAACCTTGCAGCAGGCACCAGCAGATACCTCYCCACTCATTCTGATCTACCTTCCTCTTTCTCTCCCTTTCTCACCCTCTGCCAACGATACCAGGGAAGGTGACCAGCAGTGAGACCTAAAGTTTCAGTGAAACATCCACAAAGCCCTGCTTGTCTTTGGACCAAGGGCAGAACTAGTGCTGGAGGCGCTAATAAAATCCATCCCCTGCGCACAGCCTTACTTTGTCGGTCCTTTGGGGTCTTTAATCCATTAGGACTGCAAGGATAACACCAGAGAGGGTGATATGGGCAGAAAATTCAGCAAAGCAAATGCCAGAAGGTAAAGAAAGTTTGGGCACTCCAATAGGAGGATTAAAAAGAGTGACCACCCTGAGCTGGGAGGGACTGGAACAYGCAGGGCAGTGCAGAAGTGCACCTGGTTTTCATTGCTGGCATTCATTTTTTTCCCCATGCATTGAAATGACAGGGTTTTTTTTAAACTCCTTCCCTTATAGCCTCTGGCATTTTATGGCTTTCATAAGCCTCCAAATTATTCCACAGGGCTTTCTTTCCCCGTGGCACCTGTAGCTACTTTTTCCCCTCTCCCTCCCTGTGCTCCATCTCCACCGTCTCATATGCCATTTCCTTAACCTCCAGTTACATGRCAGATCAGCTCCCTTCTTTTTCTCCCTTCCCATACATCTCCCACAGCAAAACTTAAGCTCCATCTGAAGTCCTGGTGTCAGATTAAAGTTTCTATTGATTTTGCAGGACTTTGGAACCAAGCCCGTTGTTTCTTTTTTTTTTTTTTTTTTTTTTTTTTTTTTTTTTTTTTTTTTTTTTTTTTAAACATAAGAACTAGCCTTTTATTGGAAGAAAGCTCCCAGGAGGGCCAGCTGGACACAAGAGTGCTTTCTAGTCTGCTCTTCCTGTTGAGAGCAATAGGCAAGAGTAGAGTTGCCTTTATTTTGTCATAAATTGAATAATACAAAGATTTCAACAAGAAGACGGAAGAGGACTAAGCACAGGGATATGGTGAACTCCTTGGTCGTGGGATCAAAGCACACCAAGGCAGGGCGCAGCACTTCAGTGGGGAAAAAACTATCAGCCTCGAGCACACAGAAGAAAAACGTTATTCCAGCAGGATTTCCTGCTTTCCCAGCTGCAAGGACATGTGCTCACGGTGGGGTTTATTTCACAATGTTGTGATTTCAGTGGACTCTGCAGCCGAAACCCAACAAACCACCTCTGTCTTTTATCAGGTGTTTGGGAGACAAGAGTGCAACGCCTGCAGTAGTCCAGGCACAGAGGGAAGCAGTCTCCCAAGGGATTAACGAGCGGGTGACAGGGACAAGCTGCTCTACTGCATAGAGCAGTAGAAACCACAAGAAGCCTCATTGCCTTTCTTGCTAATCAGCAGCTCTTCACAGTTGCTAATCTATTTASCGTGTTTCAGACTAGCGATTAAAGCTGCTGTTTGGTTTAGGAGCTGTTTAGGTTGGGGTCTTTGCCCCAGTAGGCTTTGATAGCAAGCTCTTTGTAAGAGTTGCCTAAAGTTCTGGTGCACAACCAAGTCTTTGCTTGCTTCTTTGAGACTTTCTAGAGACATTTCTACTTGTATTTGCAAGGAAAATCGTGCAGATGGAATTACCTATGTAATATCTGGTATACAGAGGAGCCAAGATAGCATTCAGCTATTCATTTTATAGCAAAAAAAATAAAAAAAGATCAACACCAGATGAGCTGAGTCTTTGCTCAGCTAGGGTAGCACTGAGGACTTAGGACTGGCCTGTGCATCCAGTAGTATTTCCCTGTTATCACACTCACATCTGCTTCAAGTTTCAAGTTCATGACCACTCCAGACAATATGTTATGAACATGGAARTAGAGACATCCAGCTTCTATGGGAACAGCTAAAGACAGACCATTCCCTCCATCCATTTCTCTTTGTCATTTGGTCCCTCCATCTTCATCTGTGAAAATTCCTCAGCTATCAGCAACACTGGGTGAATATACTCCATTCCTCCCTAGCCTGCACTAGAGATGAACACCAAGGCACACATTATACGAAAACAAAAATCAATCTGCTCTCTCAGATTGCCTCCAGGCAGCAGCCTTCAAAGGGTATTTATATCCTCCTGGGGGATTTGTACAAACTCCTATCTGTCTACCTTCCAAAGGAATAAACAGGATTTAGGTATTTAGTTGCTTAGGAAATTTCTTGAGGTGCCTCTTCGCCATGTGTTTAGAGGGTACCCCAAATCTCACCAGCTTATCCTGCTGGGTAAGCAGTTTTAGCAGCCCCTAMTAGTGCTGAACTGCAGCATCGAGACAGACAGGAGTCCTGCATCACGCGTTCAGAATAACATGAGAAGCTGTTGCAGAGAAAAAGTGCTGGAGATGGACAGGATGGAGATGGGTAGGAAGCAACTACCTCCTGAATTTCACCCAGTTACTCGTGTTTCTATTCCAGGATGCATTCCAAGCCTTTCATATCAATCCCACCTTGGTGCGGAAGTTTCTCAAGCCGTTGCTCATTGGAGAGCTCGCTCCAGGGGAACCCAGCGAGGACCGAGACAAGAACGTGAGTACTTGTTTCTAAACTGGGGTTTATAAATAGGATTTTGTTGTTTTGGAGGGGTGGGATTGGTCTCAGAGTGTCCTCCAAAGACCCTATGTGAAAAAAAAAAAAAATGGACAAATTATAAAGGCCATTTCCTCACAGGCAGATCCAGAGAGGGAGAGAACTGCTCAGTGCCGTGCACATCGCSGTGGAGATTAAAATGTGCGTGGGAGGGAGGTGACACATCAGTACAAGCCTTTCCTTTCAGCAGAGCCACCAGCAGCCCAGCCTGTGGTCATCACATCTGATTTCCAGCAGCCCATTCCAGACGGCTGGACTGGAATGACGCCACCTGGAAGGGAAACACGGACTGYGGGATGTGCCCTGGGAAACGCGTGCCAGCCCTCGTGGCTCGCGTCCCTCCTCCTCTTCCTTCCCTCGGGAGAAGCTCTGAAACACGTGTCGTTGCTTGCGTGTCGGGGGAAGGAGAGGGAGGGAGGGAAAGAGAAGGCTGGAAGGACTTCCAAGGGGAAGTCACCCACCGCCTGGAGAGGACAGGTCTCTTCCACCGTTTACCCCACAACTCCCTTTGGCAGAAGCCCCCCGGGGTGCTTGGAAGCTGCAGCAAAACAGATGTCTCGTTTTAGCAGCTTAGAGAGCAGCGAGGCGGCTCCCGTGTCCTCACGGGCAGCCCCATGTCCCTCCCAGACATCCATTATTCAGGCCCTGGGCACCACAGGGCTGTCTCCTACCCCGAAACCCTATCTCGCTCGGTCATTCTTGGCTGCCTGGGGCTCTGGTGTATCCGTATCACCCACAATAGAAGCCACAGCTGTAACCGGCTCTCACCCCGGGGTGCCCTCCTTGTACAATTGCACGCGAGCTGACCCACATATTAAATAGACCATGGCTGTTCTGATATTCCGTGTCCATCACCAGAAAGCTCAGAAATTATCCGTAAGTAATGGGATTGAATTCCCTCCTTCTCCAGCTGGCTCTTCAGCACTCCTAAAGCTCATGGAGGCCAGCGTGAGCAGCTGATGCAGCTCCCAACCCAGCAATGTAGCAATGCCAATGTGCCAGATTCAGGCTTGAATTACCCACCTACCTCAGGGGGCAGAAGGTCAGGAGATGGGCTCCAACCAGCCAGGCCTGAGCTGATTCATAGTGAAATGGATGAAGAACATGAGTATGGTAGGAGTACAAAGGTCCTTACTTATGGGAGAGGCCAGTGACTGCAGGAAACAGGTCCTTAGTACGGAAATTTAGGCTTCCCAAAGCACATTCAGACCTGCTAAAAGATTCGTGCTGGATCTTGTAAATCTATTTTGCAGTCCCGGCTGGTGGAAGATTTCCGGACCTTGAGGAAGACAGCGGAGGATATGAACTTATTCAGAGCAAGTCCTTGGTTCTTCTCCCTTTACCTTGGCCATATCCTTGCAATGGAAGCTTTGGCTTGGTTAACAGTCTCATACTTGGGTACTGGCTGGATCGCAACTCTCATCCTTGCCTGCATCCTTACGACTTCCCAGGTGAGCAATAGTAGGCACAGGACACCCAGATCACCTTGAAGGAGATAGTGCATGCTGAACTTCCGTGTCAGCTTCATTCACAAAACATCTGCACTGTCCTGTGCCTTCTGGCCAGCCCACCCTACCRCTGCCCTTCACATACCTTCATTCATACCTCCTGGGCCTTTCCTTCCACATACCCGTTGCCACAACTGAATCAGAGATCTTCCCCTTCACACTTCCATTGATTCTCTTTCTGTCCCACACACACGGTCACACAACTTGCCTTCCACCTTTATTTCCTTTTTTTTTTTACTCAGTTATGATTTCAACCCGCTTTCTAACGACTTCATTTTCCTTCCTTCCAGGCGCAGGCCGGGTGGCTGCAACATGACTTTGGACACCTTTCCGTCTTTAAGAAGTCTGTGTGGAACCACATACTCCACAAGTTTGTGATTGGGCACCTGAAGGTAAAGGTCATTCTSTCCCCGGGGCACTGCAGAAGCAGCTGCATCCACTCACTTGGGCTGGACCAAAGCAGGGGACAACAGATCTAAGCCATTCCACAGYGAGCCAACGCGGGGAGAAGTTATGGCCCATTCCCCAGTGTGCAGAAGAGATAAGAGAGCCTGGCCAAAGCTGTTGCAGGTCACAATAACTCCACAGGCTCCACTGGAACTCCACCTCTTATCATAGCTGAGGTTAGAGCTCATTAAGTTGCACAAACTCTATTTCAACACCCTGCTCTCCAGGCTTAGTGAGGTTTAAGTGCCCCATACAGCTATATCCTGGTCACTCAAGATATCCTCAGACCTTCTACCCGGGGTGAAGTCCATGCAGTGTCCACCAGCAGAAGGAACTTCTAGGGGGTGGGATGAATCTGTGACCATTCTTACAAGTCCTGTTTGTCTTGCCTCATTCTTTATAGTCATAGATCGTAAATGGAGACCAGTGGGAATAATTAGTAAGGTAGCAAAAAGAGATAAGCTGCCCATTCAACCACAAATAGCAGCTTCACTTGTGAGAAGACACATAATTCACTAAGATAAATCTTTCTTGCCCATTCTGACAATTTGGCCAGGGCAAAATAGCCTGGCTTTACTGGGTTTAGTAGGCTCATACCAGCAGCTTCATAGTAACTGGCAGTTTAACCACRTTTTATTCCTATTTTAAAAGTAAGAATCAAAGTAATCTTACCATTAGAGGAGCTGGGCTTTTCCGTGGCTTAACTCCTTGCTCTTGCACGTGCCCAGGGTGCCTCGGCGAACTGGTGGAACCACCGCCACTTCCAACACCATGCCAAGCCCAACATCTTCAAGAAAGACCCAGACGTGAACATGCTGCATGTCTTCGTCCTCGGAGATTCGCAGCCTGTTGAGGTGAGGCACGGTGGGTGTAAAGTGCCAGAGCGGGGCCCTAGAGGGCAACTTTGCTCACAGTGCTTTAAAAAAAAAAAAAGAAAAAAGAAAAAGTATCATTTGTCTTCCTGGGCTTGCATCTATATTGTCTGTCAGGCATTTGGCCCTCTTTATCCTATATTAGGGGGATGTTAATTCCTACATTATTCCTATACATTACAATTCCCATATTGTCCCCACAAGGACAATAGGGGAAATTAATTCCTTCCTGTGTTTCTGAAGGCAGCAGCCAACAAAGCTGAGTTGGAAGGGTAAAGTATTTGGAAGGTTCTTGCTGGTACAGGAGAGCCACAAATGGTTGTGTTGCTCTGTCACTCTAGGGATAAGAGTGGGGCCAGTGGGGCTGCAGTAGATTACAGCACCCACCCTAGAGACSAGCTTTTATACTATGAAGAAAGTAGCTCCAGACACATATTGGAGGCCTGGTATCTGGACACATACATGCAACATCTTGTAGATGCAAAACTTTTAAGAGGCAGAGAGGTCTGTTGTATGTGATATTAAAAAATGGTTTAAAAAGCCACTGTCCAGAAGATATAAATCAATATCATGCTCTTGAATGTGTGCCATTTGAAAGTCCTGTGCCTGATAACTGGGCTTAAAAGTAGCTTGGGCTTCTACAAGTGAAGGAAGAACTCTGCTTTTCAGGCAYGCATGGCAACAAGGAAAAATGGATCATCAGTGTGTCTTAATATTCTTTCACCTCTCGCCTTCCCTGAAATCTCACTGCAGCGTGAATTGAGCCCTCCAAAAATCACCAGGAAGCTCCTTCCACTATCTAACCAGAACTCCCCTTGGTGACATGTAACGCGATGGTTACAGTGGCTCACTGTGAGCTACACGGGAAATTTAAATTCCTTTATGCCAGTGTTCACTAGGCAGACTTACTGTCACTTACTTGTACTCCTGCCACTCTTGCTGCTGGTCTATCTTTACTTCTATAATCTGCCAGTAATCTGCTGTGATTGAGCATGGTGCTACGAGCTCTTAGTTCCACTTGGTGCAGCTGACACACTCGGTGCAGCTGACGCCTGAGCTCTCATCAGTCTGGATTCTCCACGTGAGCTTCTTGTGTGAACACTCCTGTGTTCAAAAGACATTTCTGCCCAGTCTTTGCTTTTGAACTAAGGAGCCCTGATGCTCTCAGCTCCCTCTTTTCACTGAAGAGAAATGGGCACCTGCAAGAAGCACCAGCCAAAGGTCTGACTTTGTCTTTGGAGAAGCATCTCTGTTTCCATACGTGTCTGCAGGTGGACCACAGCAATGTAGGGCTCAGTACAAAGTAGYTCTTGGTGACATAGATTTATAGATTAATTATGTCCATGTGGTTTCCCGTTGTAACAGCAAAGGGCCGCCTTAGCTTTCCCATTCTGAGCAGAACAGGATTTACAARACCTGGCTGGCGGTAGGAGTTCATAGTGCTGGTGGCTGCATAAGGCAAAATGAAATAGTGGTCAGGACGTTTGCTTGGAAACTAACTGAGGTTCAATGTCCTGCTCTGCGACGGGCATCCTGTGTAATGACTCAAGACACAGGTTGGACCTGAGTAATGGTCCGACCTCTTTGTGCCAAACATTTGTAAAGGTGACGATGGAGATAACAGCGACTCTTATCACAGACACAGAAATAGCAGAAGGTAGAGAAATGCACAGAAATTCTATCAGGCTATCAATCAAAAAAAAAAAAAAAAAGAAAAAAAAAATCTGTGTATCAAGCCAGAACGTGTTAAATAGGAATTTATATCTAGGCAGCAAAGTATTCCCTTATTGGGAAAGCAGGATATAAAATATACGGATATAAAAATGTTTGCAATGCAGTACAGCCCTAATCTCTATCCAGGATCAGCCTACATGTTTGGAAATGCTCTCACAACACTAGAATTAATGCTGGAGGCAAAAGAAGAGTTAGATAACTGTGTACAAGTTAATTCCTGATGATATTTAACCACACCAAATACTTTTTATCTTTATTGGTGTGGGAATTAGGTCAAAACTCCCCAGTCCAAGCTAAAGAGAGTTAATAAATAAAGAAGTATTGCAGAGAATACCCTCTTACCTGTGGGTGCTGTGATSCAAGACTGAACTTTCTCATCTGTGTCCTGCAGTATGGCAAGAAGAAGCTGAAGTACCTGCCGTACAACCATCAGCACGAGTACTTCTTCCTCAGTGAGTATCCACACCACACTCTTCGTTTTTCCCTATGGTGAGGASAGATGAAGGCTCTTTACTTGCCAGACCCTGCTGCATTAGCAGAGCAGATCCTTACATCTCTGCTCATCCCTCATTCCCAAGGCTCGCAGTCTCCTTCATGGATTACTCGTACCAGTCCCATAGTCAGTGCAGATCTTCACTGATACCCAAGTATCCTTATCGTGCCACCACAGCCACATGAAGCAAGGCAAGGAGCTGAGACTGGGAACTAGTCTCAGCTTGCAAGGGGCTCCATAGAAGCATTGCGTGTCACCACTTGATGCTTTGTGATAGCTAAAGAAGATGAACACCAGTTCCCAAACCACTGGCTCGCTCGCACGTCAACATATCTTTGCACTTCCTCAGATGGCTGAAACATTTCCGTTTGCTTTGCAGTCTTCCCACCTCTGCTCATCCCCGTGTATTTCCAAATCCAAATCATCTCGACCATGATCAGGCACAGGTTCTGGGCGGTGAGTGAAATGTCCTCCCTGTTCTCGTGGGGCCCTGTTGACTCCTCAGGTGTCACACCTGAGCAAGAAGGGCATGAGAGGAGATGCCAGAGGGAGGATGGACAGGGCATGCTTTGCTGTGCTAATTATCCCAAAATACCAGCAAGACCATGTGAAGTGGGATAGGGCAAAGCAATGCCTAATGCCTTCTGTCTTCTCCTAGGACCTGGCCTGGGCTGCTAGTTACTACATGCGCTACTTCATCACGTACATCCCATTCTATGGCGTTCTGGGATCCCTGTGTCTCCTCACTTTTGTCAGGTAGGAGATAAAGGGCCTCCCTTCTGCTCTTCCTCCACTCCTACATCAGAAGAGCGGGCTCTCGACTATATTGTGTCCCATGGGCTCTCCTTCTCTAGGTCCTCATCTTCCCCATTCTGTGTTACTCTGWGGATTTTCACTCCTTTGCTCGCCTCCCATCACCCAACTTTATTTCTCCCAGGAGAACTGGGTCTGTTGCTTGGAATATGCCTCAGTCCTGCTGATGGCTCAGGCAGCATTCCCATTTCTTCCCTCATTGCGTGTTCCCACATGCTGCTCAATCCCGACACACATATTTCCTCCAAACATTCTTCCTCCAAAGCAACGTTTCAGCCCTCCTTAAATATATGGAGAAATATTTCTTAATACATCTACATTTTGACTGCTTTTGTAACCCTTGGTGATTACCTGGCCTCACAGTGTGTTGCTCCCAGTGCAGAAACGTTTTTCTGCTTAGTGCTTTTTGACTGATGCATGGGGAGTTCAGTTAGAGACCTGAAAACATGAGCTATGAGTAGATCATTGTGCAAAAACATTCACAAAATTGAAAGTTTCCCTTCTACACAACTTAATATCTCTGTTCTTGATTTAAGTTTTCCCAATTGCAAAAGACTTTGGTTTTAAGGGGAAAAAAGAAAAAAAAAAAATTTCAAAAGGCATTGGCTTGTATAAGCGTCTAGCCAGCCTCTTTGGTGTGAAAACAAACCAAAAAGCAAATAACAAACATCCTGTTACTCTACCACTTTCATATTTTGATTAAGCTAAAAATGCAAGAAACAAAGCATTCCTCTTGTAAAACTGTTTGCAGTTTCTCATGCTTCATCGGGAGACTCTTCCCTATTAGCAGTAGTTTCCTTATAAATCCGACAGTAAGGAAAGAGCTCTGGGAGCGCTATAAAGCAATGCAACATTKGGAGCAGCCCTCCCATGGCTCGGAGAAAGCCTGATGTTTGATTAAAACACAATTTTCATCAAAATGCAAAAGGTATAAAGCCAGAAAAAAAGCACTTGCATTTTGTTTTGATGCCAGACATGAATAATTACTAGGTGCATCACATAACAGGACTCATTCATCCCCTAGCAGATAGATTACAATGCCAAGCAGAATAAACACCCATCCAAACCACATGTGGACTTCAAAACAACCCCGAAACCTCGCTCCACTTAGCTCACGCCTTTCCATGGTTGTGTGAGATTTACTGCTGATGAAAGCAGAGATTGAGATCTGCCCTTTCAGAGAACAAGCCCAAAGACTACATCAAGGACAGCGTTGCCTATGCTGGGGGTTGGCATGTAGACATTCGTCTTGCTAACCTGCACCCCAACCCCAACACAGAGCAATGACTCTGGGCAAAAAATAGAGTGCATTTCTATAGACTACTCTACGAGTGTTGGGAATGCTGGATTTTAAAATTGAATGTGTACCCAGCAAGTAACTGGCAGGATAAAAGCAGTTCTACTGAGCAGTTCTAAATGAGGACTTAATTTTCTCAAGTGACCGGATCATCTTTATTTAGGGGAAGGGGAAGTAGTGCTCTGCTTCTGAGGAAGAGAAATTAAGCAGACGGTTAGGCCAGTAGGACATCCTTGTTATAGTGAGCAGCAGTGGCACCAGTCCCGAAGCTACAAAAAGAGGAAGAGAAAAGCAGAAACGATTCTCTCCACTTTCTATAGAAGGACACTTCTTTAGTTCTGTATCTGGGAGAAATACTTTCCCCGCATGCCAGGCCTCCTGCTGGTCCCTGTAAATCCCATTTTCTTGACCTTGCATCCTGGTCTGCAATATAAAAACGTCATGTTTTCTTCTCTGTCCTTGAAGGTTCCTGGAGAGTCACTGGTTTGTGTGGGTCACCCAGATGAACCACATCCCAATGGAAATCGATAGCGAGAAGCACAGGGATTGGCTGAGTTCTCAGGTAACTGGGAAGGAGACGGATATCTGCACTCACCCCAAAATGGATCAGAAACATATTCAAAGAGTGGTTGCAATATCGCTGCCTTTAGCCACCTCCCAAGACACTGCACAAGTAGAAATGTCTCTGCCATCAGCATGTTCTCCCTAGAGCGAGTCATGCAGATTCAAGTCATGGAAGTCCAAACATCTTYGACGAAATAGGACAACCAATGGTGTAATTTACTCCTTCAGAGTAAAGAAGTGTGGTTGGAATTCCTTACGTGATGTATGTTGCTGTAAGCACATGGAGAAATAGGAGACCCTCAACGTGATTCAGCGTGGTAACTTAATCCTTATGTAAATCTCAGTGCTTTCCCTATGCTGAAAACACATTTAGCCCCGTTGAAAAGAGACCTCAGTATATTTCTAAACTTCGTGGGAATAAGGTCTGAAGTGAAAGCCATCTGCTTACAACCTCTATTTAATGCCAAGCACATCCATTCTGCTGAAATGGTGCCTCTTATTTGAAGTACTCCAAGTCCTGTTCAGACCTAGAGGGTACGGAGAGTGACTTTGCCACTRGCCCTACGAATTTGGTAAAACTGAGCTGAAAGAATAAACGACCTCATGCATTAATCACCTTATTTAGGGATGGTAGTTATTAATGGGGCCTTGAACCGAGCTTACAAAGTCCAACTGTTAATTTCTCTCCTATTGTGCCGTGCTTTGCTCGAGCACCTTCAAGAATAGGCTCATCAGAGTCATGAGAGCACTCATATGATTAACTTAGGCATTTGCTTGTGCCCTTTTTGCAACTGGAATTTGTAGACAGACGCAGAGGGTGATTTAAAGAGAGAGAAATAAGACCTATGTATGTGAAAGAGTTGAAGGGCGAGTGAAGTCTCCTTAACCCTGCTCTGGTTTTATGCTGCATCTTGTGGGGGTGAGGAGGGTATATCTATTGTGGTCACCACGTAGGATTCACAGCTTAGCCAGGTAAGAATATAAGAGGATTTTAAGAAACTCTGCCTACTTCTTACAGTTGTGAATAGCCAGAGTGGTTAAGAAAATATTTCCATGGCATGAAGATCTTGCATTTAACTCAAGCACACAGGGCAATACCTAAGCAGGATGGGGAGAGGTAGCCCTCACCACTGTTGAAACCTCCAGCAGCAAGTGGCAAGATGACAGCTCCCTGGCCCAGGAGAGACAAGTTTAGTGCTGGTCTCAGGGCGAGCACGTGCTCCTGATCACAGCCGCTTTCTTGCCTTTACAGCTCGCAGCCACTTGCAATATTGAGCAGTCCTTCTTCAATGACTGGTTCACCGGGCACCTGAACTTCCAAATTGAGCACCAGTGAGTATGGGCCCAGCACCTGGCCACTAGCAGCTTGCCACAACCTGGGACTTGAGGCAAGGGGAAGACTCCTAAAGGCACATGGGCATGGGATGGGAGAGAGAGTCTTTGGAAGACTACTGAATATCGAGGAAAGAAAATCCCAAGCTATTTTGGGTCATCTCCTTCTACCACTAAGCATGGCGTGTTTTCCCTCTTGCTACCAAATGCTTCAGCTCTCACTGTCATTTTTAATTCCAGATTTTAGCTAGGTATCAGTGGTAGGAAACTATCGATTAAATGACCATGGGCTCACATTCCTGCATTCCTACTTGAACCTTAGTGTCCACTTCAGAAATCTCCCTTCCCTGACTGAACTTTCAGCATGGTATAGCCTTGGGGCAGCCATATGGGACCGTGTACTTTGCTGGGTACCAAGTTTTGGSAAAGATACTGAAAAACAGAACCACATGAACCAGCGGCAATACCAAATGTAAAASAGAAGGCATTTATGGTTAATCACTCACTCTGGAGAGAAGTTAAACCTCTTTGAACAGCACAAGGAAAGGTGATACCAGATTCTTTATATGCTTCTCTCTTCCATGAGCTTCCAAAAGGGGAGTCACCAACAGGACCATTTGACAGGAGACATTAGTTATTGCTCAAGGGAAATAGGCAGTGACCTCAGCAGATAGAGGCCATTGCCCCACTCCTGTTTCCCTCAAATCCCACTTGGGAAGGCAGAAGGAGGTGCCCATCCCTGAGGTTCAGCTCTAGACTGCTCAGGCTTGTTTTCTTTCCATTTAAGCTTGTTCCCAACGATGCCACGACACAATTTCTGGAAGATTAAACCTTTGGTGAAATCGTTATGTGCTAAGTATGGAGTCCAGTATGAAGAGAAGCCTCTTGGAAAAGCATTCGTAGACATCGTTGGGTAAGGGCTTTTTAATACCCTTTATGCCCCACAGTTCATTCTTAGGGGAACACCCCCATCTTTTCTAGATCAGAAAAACAGCAGTAGAATTCAGGACACTATAGACCTTGAGAAGTAGCGTGTGGGTATTTTGTAATCCAGGGTCAACTAGGGTAACRTCCTTCATATCACAGTCCAAGGAACATCTGCAGAAATGTTGACTCTCATCAGAAATGATGCAGCTCTGCTGGCCTAGCAGGCAACACCAGCTGACAGCATAGGGGAAACTGCCTCCCTGCGTCGTGGGGCAAGGAAGAGCATAGCTGTCCACCAGAGCAGCTTCTGAAACCTAGAGCTCCTCGGTCCAAGATGCTGGAGAGATTTGTGCAATGAGGTCACAGTGAAGCTTCCCAAAAGGAAGGTTTTTTACAATGTCCTTTTCAAAATGCTCATTCCTGCCTTAGGCAGCTGGCAGCAAATCTTTGGACAGCAAACTGGGATGAGTTGAAGGGGGACGGGTTAGATCACAGCTCTTGCTGTTGCCTGTTCGAGCCATCCTAGAAGCAAAAGGCTGTTCCTCATAGGCACAGCTCAGCACCAGACTTAATAATCCTTATCAGACAGATTCATTGTTAATTATTCTGTCTCAGTTATTCCAAAAAAAGGTCTGTTTGCATAACAGAAAACAGAGAAAGCAGCCTCCACCCCAGGGATCACCACCAATATGATCTGCCTCCAGATGTCCTCCCAAGCAAACACAGCTGAAAGCAGGGCAGCCTCCCCTACATGGGGAAAGGCTGAAAATTGGCCCAAACCTTCCTTTGCTTCTCCCAGCCCGGTGAGCACAGGAAACCACATACAATATTGAGGCCCAAGGGGCTGATGCTTCATGTCCTACGAGACAGTAACCATGGCATTATACAAGTTCTCCAAAACCCAGCTCCATCCAGCAATTACTTGCCCACCTGGTAGCAGGATCACCTCCAGTAGACCATAGCAAGCAATGTTTCTAGGTAGCTCATACACAGAGAGCAGGGGGAGGACTTASCCAACACCATGAAACCCTTTGTGCATTCACACGGTCAAAACTAGACAGCTTCAACCCAAGCTTGCTCTGGTGTAGTCAGAAGGGCCTTCCGTGGAGAAGATGGTGCAAAATGAGCATTTGGACACCAGGAGAGCCTTGAAAGCATGATCCCTGCCATCCCCCCTGTCTTGTCCCAATTAAGAGGGCCCCCAGACCAAACACAGCCCCTCCAGCACCCTGGCTGTCAACAGGACTTTTGACCCATGACAGTTTAACTCTGTCACACATTTGCAGAGTTGATGCAGATAGGAATCCTCCATAAAAATTCCCAGGGAAACGTGGAGAAACTCCTTCATAGGTGCAGCTTGGACGAGCCCGGACTGTTCTGCTCACTGACGCTGCTGCTAACTCCAGGGGAGGAAAGGCACAAGGTCACCACAAGGCCATTGGGACCACAGGTGACACAAGGGACATCAGCCAAAAACCTTGCTCCGAGCCCAAAAGCGGTCACCTTTGTGAGCCTGAAGAGGAAAAGAGTTCCCTGCTCTTGCTCTAGCTGCCTATCCCTGGGAAAAGGCACTGGTGTCCCAAGGATTCATACCCATGTTCAGCGATGGGCTCTTCCTTCACAGGAAGGGAAGGGCAGAGGCAAGATCCGTGGGTCAAGCACGTTTCTCTCCCTTTTCTTTCCRCAGGTCCCTCAAGAAATCCGGAGACCTCTGGCTGGATGCTTATCTCCATAAGTGATTTTGCATCTTAATGGGGAGCAGTGAGTGCCAGGGAGGGATGGGGGTGGGAAGGGGTAATCACGTGCGTGTCTTTTCCTATCAGAACTTGGTCTGTATCCATGTGCACCATTTGAGGGGAGGTCCCTGTCTTAGGAACTGTTACTGGGATGGGCTCAGACAACCCATTTAATCCAGACAGATTGAGGAAAAAATTGCATTTTTGGTTCCCCTTCAGACAATGAAACATAACATCCTGATTGCACAAAAAAAAAAATAGGGTGGGAGAGGACGGAGAGAAGGAGTGTATAAAATGTGGGAAACCTCCTTCTCTCCACCGAAAAAAAAAAAACCAATAGTAATAGTAATAGTAATTCCAGCTCTGCCTAAAACACACAAGCCCTCAAGTCACAGACCTTATTTGTAAGGCTTCAGAAAACCTCTCCAGGTGAGCAGCATTTGCAGTCCAAGGACACCCAAGCCAGTTCACGCCTCTTTTCTCCTGCCCCGCTTTGTGCAAGAGAGCTTAGAGCAACCTCTTTTTATTAGTAAGCAAGATGACAGCAGTCCCCAGCACCGTCACCGCGGGAATGCGGCTGGTGCCTGGCACCCTGCGCATGGAAATCGTGCTCCRGGGGGACCTGCAGGCACTGGGGCGCATGGCTGTATGGCCCTGCTGGGGCTTTGCCTGCTTTCTGCCTCTCATTGTAGCATCCCTTTACTAAAGGCTGCCTAAAGGTCCTGCACTGCCTAAATGTCCTGCAACACCAGCATCCCAGTGCCACTCTTAGTACGGGACTGCATCCACAGCTGGGTTTTTGCAGCCAGCCTYTGTTTGCAGAGGGCTGCAGGAGAGCTCTGGGCTGGTGTCACATTAGGACAAGGTGTCACATTTAGGGAAAATACTTCCTTTTCCTCATGACCAGTGGGCCTTAGCATTACCTCGCATGCAAGACAAAAAGAAGGCACATAGGGCAATTTTACCCGTTGCACATCAATTCTTTGCATTGCTGCAGTCCAAGTGCAAATGGCCTTTCCTAAACCTGGGGAGAGCAGCTGGGCAACAGGCTGCAAAATTGCTGCAAAAACACCCAGCAGTGCCTGTTTGCACAGGCTTGCCTGAAAGCACAGCCCTTTCTGCATGCCAGAGGCCAGGAGCGATGCCCTGCAATAGTCTTGGGAACCAGCACCAGAGAAAATAAGTTGTTTCTGAAAAAAATATGAAAAAAACAAAAAGAAAAATAGCTGCCCTCCTCTTCAGCCAGCCCAGAGGTCCTGCAGGAATGCAGCTGAGAGAACAAGGCTGACCAAGCAGTTAAGAAGCCTCCTACAACCTGCCTAAAGCGCCTGTTTTCTGACCAGTTCCTAATTACCAAAATCCACCGGCCAAACTAATGGCTCACCCAGGGGTGGAGCTGAGCAGCTGCCCGYTGTTTCTCCAGGTGGGAGCCTAATCCAGAGTCCACTGCAGATAAGGAGTGGGCTGTAGTGCGCTGTAGTTTAAACTGTGATGCAGTGCAGAAGAGACAAACATATTTTTTAGTTTATGATAAAGGGCTAGGGTTTCCAAAGCAGTCCCTAACTCTTGAAAACTTCAGGAAAYGTAATCCCAGCCCTCAGCTTTGCAGAACAAAATGAGCTGAGCGTGTTTGCAGACTGGGACRTCATAGGCAGCATTTGTCACCAAACGCAGCTACTGACACTTAAGGCTTTTAAAGGGCTTATCATTTGGGTGTTCTTGCATACCTCTAAGGTAACAAAAACCTAAATATCACCAGGAAGGGCTAGGATGAAAAGCTGTTGTTGCGGGGTGTCTGAAGCTCAACCAGGCTTGGAACAGTTCTTATGGTTAATTTTCTGATAGCGTAAATTAGAACATCCTTCCAGACACTGTAACTTCTCCGACAGGGAATAACAGGTTAGTTTGGAACTGCGGCTAACAATAACTCTTAAGACTGCCTTAATATCACTGTCTCCTTCTGACTCCCTGAATGTATCTCACTGCCACCCCACCAGCATGGGACAACCACAGAAACACTGCAGTATCAGCAATGTTACCTTGTTCATCTTCCTTTTCCTTCATCTTCCTTTTTCGCTCCTCCAGTTCTCGACTCCAGAGCAAATTCTTCTTTCTGAATACAGGTGCCTCTTCGTTAGCTCTGCCCCCCTTTTATTTCCCCCTATCTCCTACCTTTCTTCTTTGGAAAGCGTTTGCCTTTGAATGCTTAGAGAAGCTGCAGGAGACCGGTAGCTCAGCCTAGGTAAAACCACCCTCCTCCGGCAGCTTGCCTTCCTGCAAAGACTGTTTTTCTCTAAAAAGAACAAGTTTCCAACCCGATAACCTGACCTGGCCAGTGCCTGGGACGTAGCAGCTACAAGTGAGGATGCCTCAAAGACTTTGAAACGTTCGGGAGAGCAACGATGATGGCACGATCTGCAGGAGGGAAGGCGAGTCCTGCGCCTGGCGGGCGATTCCTCCCACCTTTAGCACAAGCTATCAAAGGGAAGGAAGGAGGACCCAAGAGCCTGATGTTAGTTCTCCCTTGGGCTCCCAGACCAGCTACTGGTTCCTTTCAGACCCACAAAGATTCCTTTTTTTTTGATGAAAAATGTTCAGTTGCTAAAATACAGAAATAAAAAACAAACAAAAAAAAWATGTGCAATGTTTATAGCCAGAAGTGATTTCCAGGTGTCATGTATTGCTCTTGCTGTTGCAAGATTAAAATGTCCTTCCTGCAAAGAAGAGCAGTTCCTCCACTCTTAGTAACTGGTAGGGTGTTTTTCTTACTCATYGTATGTACGTGCCCAGAGAGCTGCTCTTGTGAAAAACGAGATGCTGGTTGCCCTGACAGGTGAAGCCTCAATGGGAGCTTTGCCCCTTTAGTTTCCTTCCCCCTTGAAAGCCCAAGCTGCTCTCTCTTGGTTTAAGTTGTTTTAGATGTACCTTAACCTACAAGCTCTCCATGATTTAATGGGTGCAGGTCTAGGGAATTCCTGACAAAAGGCCCTTGAAAGTCAAGGAAAACCTCCTGTGTTACAATTCCTGGTAGTACCACACTAAAACCTCATTTAACCACAAATTCGCCTACATGCAAGTGGGTGTGGGTTTTTTGTTTGGGTTTTTTTTTTTTTTCCAGTAAAACTGCAAACTTAAGCAGTCGTCTGCTGTAAAAGTTCACATGACCTTGCTGGGCTTTGGCCCCAACTGGGACAAAATGCAGCAAAATACACCAAAACAAAACAAAAAACTGGCCCGCTATGGGAGCRTGTCAGAGCTTGCCGCTGAACCCGGCTGAACCACGGCACCGGTTACGGGAGCCCTTGGCAACAGGTGGAGGAAACGGTTGTTTYGGATCAAATAAGCAAATAGCAGATAGGAAAGGGCTGGCTTTGCTTCTCTCCCGTGACTCCTTGGCGGGGTCCCCGAGAGAAGCAAGAGGATAGACACGTTTGGAGACGCTGGGCAGAGAAAGTCTTCAAGGAGGAGCGCGGAGCTGAGGGAAACACGGGAAGGGAACTGCTGGGGAGGAGAGCGTGGACCTGGCTCAGGCTAGAGATGCTGCTTTTGCCGGGATGCGCAAGGAGAGAAGRGCCAGAGAGCTGTTTGGCAAACAGCAAAGAGCAACTGCAGCTGGCAACATCACCAGATGTCTCATGACAAGTGGATCTTGCACCCATTCCTGCTCGTAGAGCAGGGCCAGTGTGGAAAAACCTCCTACGGTGCCTTTCGCTGGCATGATCTATCCCTGGTGAACCTAAACTGGGTTARGTTAGGTCTTCAACCAACAAAAAGTGCTTAACGCCCTGGTCTGTGCCAGCATAGTCAACCAGCAAGAGGTCTGGCCTGCCATTTGCAGGGAGAGGTGCAAGGAAAAGGAGACACCTTGCACCACCATTTCTTGTCTGCACACATTTGTGAAGTCGAAGAGTCCAGCTCCTTACCAAGACAGAACTCGGGATGCTCAGAGCACCAGCAGAGCTTTGCATCTCCAGACACCGCCACTCCCGCCTGGAGAGCGGAGGACTCCTTCCCTCCTGGGATCAAGCTGGTCGAAACTCAAGTCTTCGTCTCACAACTCAAGTCTTCGTCTCACAAAAGCATCCTCTTCTGCAACACGCTGTCCTAGCCTAGCCCTGGCCTCTTCCAGACAACGCTTTTCTAAGAACCCCAGCCTAACAGAGCCCTAACGCTTAGGATGCTCTCTAACTGTTTAGACCTCCAAACCACATCTCTCATAGGGCAGCAGATTATTTCACTCTTAAAAAAAAACAGTAACTCAGAAGGAGCTATTTTTTCTAGTGTATTCTTTTGCTCAATAAAATCGTAACTGTTTGTTGATTGTAGAAGTGYTTCATGTGATTTATTTGGTCACATCCAGAGCCAATGTGGTGCCAAAAAAAAAAATCCTCTTGGAAACCTTAAACAAGGTTTTCAAGGACGGACCAATGGTGTTGGGTATGGAGGAGATGGCGAAACTGGTTAAGACGTGAGCCTGAGGTCAAGAACTTACATTCAAATTCAGAACTCGGGTAGGATTTGCCTGAAGGCTGGCTCAAATCCAGATCCCTGCTTTAGGCTCGTCTTTGCTAGTCCTATTTCTCACCTCAGATCAGAAACAGATCTGAGCCTACATAGGAGCTGCAAGAACACCAAAGGAGCTAACTCTAGCTGCTTTGGAGGAAAGGAGCTGCAWCTGGGCCTATTTATTCCATAGTTTTTGTCTAACCATGCGATTTTGTCTCAAAACTCTATTTTCTGTCTCCTGACAGCTCATGCAGAGACCTAGTAAGGAGCTTTCAGCTATTTCTCCAATGGGGAAGTTGATCCAAGGCTCATTCTGGACAAGAGCAGACTTTAGGTCATCCCAGAGGCCTCAAGAGACCCCATTTAGCAGAACCAGCATCCTGCCAGTTCATGCCAATAAGAACAACCGAATGGCAATGAACAGAGTTGTACGAACGCATCACACAGGGTGTCCTAGGGTCAGATAGCCCAGCGAGAGGCAGGGAGGACAGTCTTTGGTTGAGGCATTGCACTAAACCAACAGACCACRACTTTCCAGAGTAAACATGAATTGCCTCAGAGCTAAACTCATTCCACACCAGATGAGAGGACATAGAGCTCAAAGGAAAAAAAAAATTACCTGGCCACAATATTGGGGCTTTTAGTTGATCCTACAACAAACATTTCCCTAAGACAAACACAAAAAATAGGCCACTGTAAATCGATGCGTGACCTGGCTTTCTTCCCCAGCAACTCAGCTGTGTGTGTCTGTA